TAACGTTATTGAACATTTCAAGGCCAATTTACACCAGCTGAGATCCCATCCCTTTATTATTTCTTAAGCTTTTAAAGTACACTTTGCTTTAAATCAATTGAATGTGCTACATTTTCTGTGAACAAGTTAAAGAAAAAATTCCCTAAGAGCTGACGCTGCAAACTCAACACAGGATCTGAGGGTATGTCTGCATTGGAGTTGGAAGTTGTAAATAGTGCTAATAAACAATGGCCACATAAACACCACCCTATACCGGAAACCTACTGACCGCTATTCCTACCTGCATGCCTCCAGCTTTCACCCTGACCACACCACACGATCCATCGTCTACAGCCAAGCTCTGTGATACAACCGCATTTGCTCCAACCCCTCAGACAGAGACAAACACCTACAAGATCTCTGTCAAGCTTTCTTACAACTACAATACCCACCTGCAGAAGTAAAGAAACAGATTGATAGAGCCAGAAGAGTTCCCAGAAGTTACCTACTACAGGACAGGCCTAACAAAGAAAATAACAGAACGCCACTAGCGGTCACCTTCAGCCCCCAACTAAAACCCCTCCAACGCATTATTAAGGATCTACAACCTATCCTAAAGGATGACCCAACACTCTCACAAGTCTTGGGAGACAGGCCAGTCCTTGCCTACAGACAGCCCCGCAACCTGAAGCAAATACTCACCAACAACCACATACCACACAACAGAACCACTAACCCAGGAACTTATCCTTGCAACAAAGCCCGTTGCCAATTGTGCCCACATATCTATTCAGGGGACACCATCACAGGGCCTAATAACATCAGCCACACTATCAGAGGCTCGTTCACCTGCACATCCACCAATGTGATATATGCCATCATGTGCCAGCAATGCCCCTCTGCCATGTACATTGGTCAAACTGGACAGTCTCTACGTAAAAGAATAAATGGACACAAATCAGATGTCAAGAATTATAACATTCATAAACCAGTCGGAGAACACTTCAATCTCTCTGGTCACGCAATCACAGACATGAAGGTCGCTATCTTAAAACAAAAAAACTTCAAATCCAGACTCCAGCGAGAAACTGCTGAATTGGAATTCATTTGCAAATTGGATACTATTAATTTAGGCTTAAATAGAGACTGGGAGTTGCTAAGTCATTATGCAAGGTAGCCTGTTTCCTCTTGTTTTTTCCTACCCCCCCACCCCCAGATGTTCTGGTTTAACTTGGATTTAAACTTGGAGAGTGGTCAGTTTAGATGAGCTATTACCAGCAGGAGAGTGAGTTTGTGTGTGTATGGGGGTGGGGGGGATGTGAGAAAACCTGGATCTATGCAGGAAATAGCCCGACTTGATTATGTAAAGAGTTGTCACTTTGGATGGGCTAGCACCAGCAGGAGAGTGAATTTGTGTGGGGGGGTGGAGGGTGAGAAAACCTGGATTTGTGCTGGAAATGGCCCACCTGTTGATCACTTTAGATAAGCTATTACCAGCAGGACAGTGGGGTGGGAGGAGGTATTGTTTCATATTCTCTGTGTGTATATAAAGTCTGCTGCAGTTTCCACGGTATGCATCTGATGAAGTGAGCTGTAGCTCACGAAAGCTCATGCTCAAATAAATTGGTTAGTCTCTAAGGTGCCACAAGTACTCCTTTTCGTCTTGAGGAGATGTATCCATGCTAGCTCTGATCAAACTATCTTGCTGAAAACAGAAAAGTAGCCCCAGTTGTGGAGGTGCTGAGTATGATCCCATCCGAGACCATCAGTCTTAGTTATGAAATCCCCCCAAAATTCATGTAACAATAGGTTTTGTCCTGATGCAAAGTGAAGTACTAGTTATTTTTATAATCAACAGTGCCATTGTATTTAAAGTTATCTTTTAAAAGACTCAGTTACTAAAACTTTTTAAAAACTTAACAGTGAAAATAAGTTGGGTTCACAAAACACTTCTTTAAACTGCTTAGGCTTATATTAAATACTGCCTGTTCTTGTCATAAGGAATTGCTCTTTTTCACCATTTCAGAATTGTACTAATAAGGCTGCAAAACTTAAGCACAGAGCTTACCTGCCAAATCTGCTTTAAATCTAAAGCTAAAAATAAAATCTTTACCATATTTAAATGTTTGTTCACTTTGTGAGAAAAGAATCGTATGAGTCAAACCCTGTTAAAATGTTATGAAAATTGAATATCACTGTTTCCAAGTCAGTTTCAGCTCTGAAGAAACTAACAGAAGGGTTGATCCTGTACAAAGAAAGGTAATGTGAGTTTCACCACAGACTTCAGGGCCAGGGCCTAATTGGATCTGGATTATTCTTGTGTTCAATGAATCTCACTTAAGATACACACTTTTACTAAATGCTTGGTTTTTAGTGGTAACAGCTTGAAAATCTGGGTCACATTTAAGGCAACATGATGTTATTGTGCTCACTTCCATTGGGTTGGCTTCCATAGGCATCATTAGCATCTACAGGGAAGTCAGTCTGCACTGCTGCAGCTTCATTGCTATCTAAAGCTAACTGTACTGAGACTGAGCAACAGCTTTGACATTTGTTCTAAATGTTAAAAAAATAAATCATATTTATATTGAGTTGAGAACAAAGTGCTGTCTTGGAAGGGAATTAAGAGCATTTGTGTCTTTCTATTTTATCTCCGCTTCATGTGGTTCTAGGAAATATCCAATCTGACTGCTGGACCCCTTTCCCACAGTGGTATAAAAAACAGTCTTTCCTTGGAGCTATTTTATCACTTTAAAAAAACTCAATTGACAGGTAGGAAATATTTTTATTATAAATTACACATATATTGGGCTTTTTAATATACTGATTATCAGAGAGACAGTAAATTTACAGTAATTTACAGGCCAACACAATACTTACTAGTAATGTAATTGACAGTCATTTTCTTTCAAAACAGGAAATTACACATTCTTTCAATGGATTTCACAAAAGGTAAAAATGAATCATTGTGACCATAGTCCTGCAAAGACATGCTTAGCTTTACACAGTGTGAGCTGTCCCGCTAAAGGCAGTGGGAGAAGTCAATGCACAAAGTTAAAGTACTAGTAGTCATGGTAGTAAAGTTAAACACATATGTAAGTCTTTGCAAACTCAGGCTCTGTGGGCCTAATCATGCAAGCTCTCTGAATGTGGAACTCCCAGTGAAATCAATGGGAGTTCTGTGCATGAAAGCCTCACAGGAGCAGACCCAATTACGGTGCCACTTTGATTTTTTTATACACTTTTGTACTCCTGGGGGAATTCTGTGTCACTGCGCGGGCGCAGAATTCAGGTCCCTCTGCAGATTTCTTTGCTTCTCAGCAGAAAATGATGAGGAAGCAAAGGGAATCTGCATGAGTGCTCATGTGCCTGTGTGGTTTTTGGTGGGTGTAGTTTGGGGAGGCATTGTCCCCCCAAACAGAGGTGAGATGGGGGAGCACGTGGGGTCAAATGCCACTGTTACCCCCCATTTCTGTGAGCACAGAGCTGCTTGGCTGACAGAGGGTTCAGCTCCGGCTGCTGCCTCTGCAGCTGGATGCCGCCTCCTGGGTCCTCGTGCTGGTTGTGCTCCCCTTGTGTGTGCTGGGAGCCTTCCTGTTTCCTGTACAAAGGGGAGTGCCTGTGGTGGGGCGAGGAAGAGGCAATGTGGGAGTGAGACAGGGGCAGGGGACAGTGGAGAGAGAAATGGGGAGGGGATGAGGCAGGGACAGTGGGGATGGGGAGGAGTGGGAGCCTGGCATGCGGCAGCAGCAGCTGGGGCTCCCCTGTTAAGCAGGCTCATCAAACACCCCATCCCCCCTGCACCACCCCAACGAGCCCCCCCACACTGGACCCCCACTGCACTGAGCCCCAACCAGCTGCACCTGGATTCCCACCCCACCAAGCCCCACTCCCCCAGCACCCGGACCCCTCCCCATTGAGCCTCCTCACACACTGACCGCCCCCCCCAATCAAGTTCCAACCACCTTCACCTGGACCCCCCTGCAGAATCCCATTGCCCCTGCACCCAGAACCGCCCCACCCCCAAATGAGCCTTTGTGCATCCAGATCCCCTACTGAGCTGCCCGCACCCAGGTTACCCCACACAGAACCCTCTCACCCCACACCAAGCCCCTCCACACTTGGATCCTGCCAGGAGGATGTTTCTGGGGCAGGCCTGGCCCTTGCACTTTGTCAGGGTTGTGTGCAGCCCCACCGTCAAGTCTGTGTCCTGGGGGGACTGCAGGGTGATCTCCCATCTCTATGCAGCTAGTGGCCTGTTCTCCCCACTGCCATGTGGGAGTCTCCACGTTTATTTATTGACAAATAAAATGTTCAGAATTTTAAAATGTGCACAGAATTTTTAGTTTTTTGGTGCAAAATTCCCTCAGGTGTAACACTTTGTGCAGGTGTATGTGTCACAAATATTACACTTTTAAAGTAAATACTATTTAGGCCCCCAGGCCTGTAAACTGAGCTAAGTGCGCAAACCCTTAAATCTGCACAAGGCCCTAGTGAAGTCAGTGAAGCTCCGCATGGGTGCAGAGGTCTGCTCACGTGTCTCATCTTGCCTGACTGGGTTTTTAGGTGCACATCATTATAATAGCTTTCTAAACGAGTTGACATGATTTACAGTTGTCCTAATTTAGCTGGCAATATGTAACTTAATTCAGCAGAAATCAGCATAGCTGTATGAGGTGCACTTTATCTAATTTTAAAAGCATTATCAATTATTCATTACAGCTTAAATTAATGTAGGGCTTGATTCTGGTCACAACAGGCACATGGGAGCTCCGTCAAAGTCCCTTGCGTGCTGGACCAGCCCTTTGATGAAGCTTTGCAACAAAACAGTCGTTAAACATAACTAAGGTTTGGTTGTGTGTGACGGTAAAAAGTGAGAAGAATATTAAGTAGTTTACAGAAGGAAAAGTCATGACACAAAGACATGAAACACCACCACCACTGAAGTTAAAGGCAAAACTTCAGTGACTTGAATGGGCCCTGGATATCACCCACTGTGCTAATTAAGAAGTTATAGGAAGTTGAGAAGCCAAATATCCTTTATTTTACAATAATTGTTTTTTTAATGTAGTAATATTGAATGGTTTAAAGACATTTAAAAATCCCACAGTCCACTACACTAGCCATTAAATGTATGAAGGCTTGCTTGGGAGCAGCTGAATGGAGAGATCAAGAAAATGATTTTTTGTGTGTGAACTCTAAAAGTCACGTTCTTTGTCATGAAAGTGAGAAATATTATGCCTTAACTAGCGCAATCTGTGATGCTTTAAAGCAACAGATACCATTACATACCTACTAACTCAGAGAAGGAAACACCATAATTTTTGTATATGGTATCAGTTCTGACTGGGGCATCTTAAGTTTGATTTTAACCATTTTTTATTCTAACAGTTTACTACTGACCTGATAATTTATGTACTAATGTAATGTGGAAAATGATGGAAATATGACTGGTATTGACACTCTTACGTGTCATGATCCATATTTGCTGTCCCTTCTTCATCTGTAGAGCTGTAGTATGAAAATCAGTGACATAGATTTAATGCATCATAGCACTGTCTGACAGAGGCTGATGCATAGATATGAGCTGAGCAGACTGAGACTCAGCCCAGACAAGACCAAGATACTGAGGAAATGGCAGAAATTATATCAGTATCTTTGATTAATGGGTCATGTCTTGGTTTGGTTGGGGAATTTGTTGGATCTTGGGCGGTTTCTGGATGGCCAGATAGCAATTTAGATTATAAGTTCCTTGGGGCAGAATAAGTAATACTCATTCTTATCTTGCACTTGAGAGGGATCTTACATTCACTCTTGTGAATTTGAACCATCCCATTGTTATCCATGATTTTGTTACCATCAGGTGAGATTACTGCAGTGCTGTAGAAAGGAAGGCATCATCAGGTCCCCAATATTGAATACCAGCTCAAAGATGTGGGTCCCTGAAATGGAAACCTAACGGCCTATCTGGTTCTTTTCAGGTAGAATAAATATTAATATCTGAAATGGAAGCCTGTCAGAGGTGCTAATCTTCTGCATTTCCTCTAGAACTCTTTGATCAAGATGGCCTATGCTGGAGTCAGAGTTTTCCTCCTCTTTTCGGTCAACACAATTGTTTTCTTCCTAGGATGAAAAAAATGGGATAATACCTGCTAAAAGATTTTCCTCCTTGAAATTTTTGTTTTAAATTAGACTTGATGGGCTGTCATTGCAATTGTTCTAATTTCACATTGTCCAGGACAGTTGCATTGTCATCATTTGGGTCCTGTTGTAATAACTGGGCCTAACATTTTACTCTACCTGTGAGCTCAACTGTAAAAACTATGTGAAAGTTCATAAGATGTCACAATAACCTATAATAAACGTTGATGGGAAAAGGTACAACAAGGAGACAGAAAAACTAAATTAGCCTGAACAAAAGGGCCTACTGATATGGTTCAAGGACTGTTAAAAGCAAGCTTGGTAAAAACACGATGTGGAACTGGAAATTAACTAACCAAAATTGGTGTGGGAGATATTAGGCCTAAATTAAGGTCCTTAAAGAAAAGTCTTTAATATAACATTGAAGAACAGACAGAAGCTACCGGAGTGAGCTTTACTATATGGCAGCCACCCTGACCGTCTCCTGGGACCCTGAACCTTCTTTGTCCTAATCCTGAGAGATGGCCTGGCCAGACTGGGCCAGAGAGAGGGACTCAGATACCATCGCTACCTCTGCTGGCTCCAGCTGAATCCCAAACACTACGTGGAATGAAATGGGATTGGATTTTGACAAAAGTAGCTCCAGCTCATCTCAACTAACTTCTTCTCTTTTACGCAAAAGGTCAGTTATTACCATCTCTAATACCATCTAAGAAACTGTGGAAAAAGGGGGGAGGTCCTTCTAAACCGTTCTCCAGCTAAAGTGAAAGGGAACAAGAAATGCTGTTAAACTGAAAGCCTTGTTTAATATTTTACATTTCAAATGCTTTAACTACTTTTCTTTCTTTGCTATATCTTTTTAATAAAAGGTTGAAAGGATTTTTAACGGTGTGTTTGCCATGGTACAAAGCAGGCTGTATACCAAACCCTGAACCTGTTTAATGTTGAACAGTGACTGAGTTATGTTAACACCTTTAAGCCCATATATTCCAACTACTTTAATATATCAGTTCATAAGTCCTCTAGATGCACTATGGTACCAATGGAATATTATTTCACTGAACTATGTCAACAGAAGTGCATGGGACTACATCAGGTTACTGGTTTATTTGGATAGGAGATACTGTTTGCTGAAATTGTATCTGCCATTCAGAGTAAAAGTGAGGGCTAAAAAAGCAGCTCTGTGTGAGCGCTTCTTCCAATTTTTCTGGGTGGATTTTATGCTAAGAGCACTAATTAAGGCAGGTGCTGGTCAATCTTTGACACATATATGATTTGCAGATTAAACTCTAGTCCTGAATGGTGACACCTCTATTATTCCAATCCTAAACCTTGGAGCAGACTGCCACTCAGGCTGAATTACCATATGTTGCTATTTGAGATTTTCCCTGTCTCCGTGATGGTGTGTGTATAGTAGGAAACCTTGTAGCCAGAATTCACTGCCAGTGGCAGCAACAGTGAAAGCTGTTATGCGGATAGGACTCCGTGGTTTTTACTACTGTGTCATCTGAGCCTAGGGTGTACTGATGGTGAATTAAGGCTATAGAGTTTGCAAGTGTAGACAGGCTGTAGAAACTAGTGTGAGAAACACTTTTTCTGAATCCCTCACTAGTTTAAGTATTTTCAAAGATGTTAAAAAGCTGTTTTTACATCCAGACTGTTAATTTTACATGTCATATTTGGTCTAATATGATTTAAGCAGCCAGTTTACAACTTTTTTGTTAAAGGGGCGGTTTCAAATGGAAAGAGAAACTGCTGCCTACTTAAAAAAGCACTTAAGAGTTTTGTTACATTAATAACATAATTTCACCAAGCTCTTACCATCTGTTCATGCACATCAGATAATGATCTAAGATGCAGGCTGTCAGATACAGATGATACAATGAACTCCTCTGACTGTTCATTTTCTGATGCACCTAGGATACTTGTTACTGTCACAGATGAATCTGAGAAACTGTCTTGTTCTTCATCAGATGTTTCAGATATAAAGTTACGTTGTTGTTCTGCACAGGTGCAGCAACACTGAGGCTTCTGTGGGATATGTGCCATTTGCCAATCACATGGGTCTGTTAAAATAATGTCCCTTGTATGTACATTACTGATAGCATCCTGAACCTTCTTGTCTCCTGTGGATTCATTAAGGATGAAAAGCTGGTTAGATAATTGTATATTTTTGTTTTCTAAACTGCTGTCCAGATCTTTAGGCTCAGATGCAGTTGAAGTAGGTGATGCATCTTGCTCCATTTCCAGGAAAACTTGATGTAAAAAGGAAGGTGCTCCAAGTGTAACCCTAGAAAGGTGTTCTTCATTTTCATTCTCTGGGAGATGTCATAGTTTCTAAAGATTTACTTTCTGAAGCAATGGTTTGAATTCCATATTCACTTGTTATGTTACAACTATTCAAGTTTACACATTTACATTTCTGTTCAGTATTTCTGGAAAACTGCAATGGACCTTGGAAACAGATCTTATGGGATTTGGTAATTTTTCCTGTAGCTAATTCACACAAATCTTTCTTCTTTTTTTGGCGCTGGTTACTTTGAGTTCTCTGATGAAGGCTGTTACACGTGTTATTTTGGCTGTGGTGAACGCCACCTTTAAGAGTCACAAAAGAAGCTGTTTATTTTCCCGTGTTTTCATTTATGATTGGGGTTTGTGCATTTGTGGAAATAGTATGAATTATTTTCTCATTTAACTCCCTGTTTCCTTCACTATTTCTTCTTTATTTTTGATGTAGTGGCATATTCCTGGAGTTCTCTATTGGCCTTCTCTGTGAAAGCTTGCTAGACTTACTACCTCTGCTGCCTGAATGCTTTCTACTAGGCACTTGGGGTGACTTTTGCCTTTTGAATTCAGATGACTTATAGAGCCACCTAGAGATGCATTCATTTTTCTGAGAGTGAGCAAAACTCGTCAAGCCTGCTACATGGCCAGTACTTGGCTCTGTATCTTGCTCTTCATGATATCTGAATGCCTGCACAAGGCAGAGGACTCTCCTTCATTAAGCACATTTTTTTTAGAAGCTTTACTTCTGTCAGTTCGTTGTGCATATGGAAATATGGTATTTAAGTACAATGAATTTAAATCAGTTGCTCTTGTAGAAGTTTTAGAAAGTACACTCTTATGTTTAGATGAGTTACTGGAAATGTTAGATGATCTCTCAACTCTGACCGGTCCATTTACATTTCTAATGTTTTTTTCTTTCTTGCCTTTGTTCGTATCTAAAGTAGACACAATATTTTTAATGACTAATTTAATATTTATTTAACAAAAAATCCCTCATCCCATGTGTCATAAATATAAAGGGAAGGGTAAACCCCTTTGAAATCCCTCCTGGCCAGGGGAAAGCTCCTCTCACCTGTAAAGGGTTAAGAAGCTAAAGGTAACCTCCCTGGCACCTGACCAAAATGACCAATGAGGAGACAAGATACTTTCAAAAGCTGGGAGGAGGGAGAGAAACAAAGGGTCTGTGTCTGTCTGTATGCTGGGTCTTTGCCGGGGATAGACCAGGAATGGAATCTTAGAACTTTTAGTAAGTAATCTAGCTAGGTATGTGTTAGATTATGATTTCTTTAAATGGCTGAGAAAAGAATTGTGCTGAATAGAATAACTATTTCTGTCTGTGTATCTTTTTTGTAACTTAAGGTTTTGCCTAGAGGGGTTCTCTATGTTTTTGAAACTAATTACCCTGTAAGATATCTACCATCCTGATTTTACAGGGGGGATTTCTTTATTTCTATTTACTTCTATTTTTTATTAAAAGTCTTCTTGTAAAAAACTGAATGCTTTTTCATTGTTCTCAGATCCAAGGGTTCGGGTCTGTGGTCACCTATGCAAATTGGTGAGGCTTTTTATCCAACATTTCCCAGGAAAGGGGGGGTGCAAGTGTTGGGAGGATTGTTCATTGTTCTTAAGATCCAAGGGGCTGGGTCTGTAGTCACCTAGGCAAATTGGTGAGGCTTTTTACCAAACCTTGTCCAGGAAGTGGGGTGCAAGGTTTTGGGAAGTATTTTGGGGGGAAGGACGCGTCCAAACAGCTCTTCCCCAGTAACCAGTATTAGTTTGGTGGTGGTAGCGGTCAGTCCAAGGACAACGGGTGTAATATTTTGTACCTTGGGGAAGTTTTGACCTAAGCTGGTAAAGATAAGCTTAGGAGGTTTTTCATGCAGGTCCCCACATCTGTACCCTTCCTGGACAAGGGTTGGTAAAAAGCCTCACCAATTTGCCTAGGTGACTACAGACCCAGCCCCTTGGATCTTAAGAACAATGAACAATCCTCCCAACACTTGCACCCCCCCTTTCCTGGGAAATGTTGGATAAAAAGCCTCACCAATTTGCATAGGTGACCACAGACCCGAACCCTTGGATCTGAGAACAATGAAAAAGCATTCAGTTTTTTACAAGAAGACTTTTAATAAAAAATAGAAGTAAATAGAAATAAAGAAATCCCCCCTGTAAAATCAGGATGGTAGATATCTTACAGGGTAATTAGTTTCAAAAACATAGAGAACCCCTCTAGGCAAAACCTTAAGTTACAAAAAAAGATACACAGACAGAAATAGTTATTCTATTCAGCACAATTCTTTTCTCAGCCATTTAAAGAAATCATAATCTAACACATACCTAGCTAGATTACTTACTAAAAGTTCTAAGATTCCATTCCTGGTCTATCCCCGGCAAAGACCCAGCATACAGACAGACACAGACCCTTTGTTTCTCTCCCTCCTCCCAGCTTTTGAAAGTATCTTGTCTCCTCATTGGTCATTTTGGTCAGGTGCCAGGGAGGTTACCTTTAGCTTCTTAACCCTTTACAGGTGAGAGGAGCTTTCCCCTGGCCAGGAGGGATTTCAAAGGGGTTTACCCTTCCCTTTATATTTATGATACCATGACACTTTACTATTATTTTAAAAGACAACAATAAAATGGATCAAACAAATATAGTCTACTAAAAGTGAATGGAAAAGTCAAGAGGGAAAAGAACAAGTTGCAAAGTAGATAATTAGAAGTCATGACAAGAAAGGACAAAGTGTTTGTCAGAGAAAAATCAAGACGAGAATGAACTTTCAGAAGAGATTTGAAGAAAATCTGATGTAAAAGAATGAATCAGAAGAGGGAGCAGTACAAAGGAGCAGAGCACATATTAGGAAGTAACAGAGCAGGAAAAGAATCTCTTGCAATATGTACTTCGGATAATATGATGTCAGGCCAAGCTGTGTGTGTGTGAGTCTGTTTGGCAACCAAGATTATATCTACACAACAGCTGGGATGGCACTTCCCAGTATGGGTAGTCAGATGCACACTAGCTCTGGTTGAGCTAGCACCCCTAAAAATAGTAGTGTGGCCACAGCGACACAGGCTGGGACTAGCTACCTGAATACATACCCAGGGGGTTGCGCAGGATTGTACTCCAGTAACTAGCCCGAGTCGCTGCCCATGCCACTATGGCCACGTTGCTGTTTTGTAGCATACTAGCTCAAGCAGTTTACCCGCATTGGGAAGCACATTCCCAGCTGCTCTGTAGATACACCCCAAAATAAAAAATAAGTTCATTTCCTCTCCTGCTTATCTGAGATGGATTCTGCACCTCCAACGTTATTGTTTTAACAGTAAAGGTGTAAAAAGAACACCTGGAAAATGTAACTTAATCATTTGCAAACTTGCAATTGTGTTTAGAAACAATTTCAGTACCTTCTAAGACCAACTGCTACAATAATTTAGCCCTGCTAACAATTCAGGAATCAGCCATGCATTTTCAAATGCCTTACTTGGTTATTCTTTAAGATATATTTCATTGCAGGCAACAGCTGTTTTCTAAGACATGGTGAAAAGGGTTGAAAAGTATATTAAGAATGTAACTTACTTTTCCTATAATCATTCCTTGAATCTTCTTGGATAAAGTCAGCATTTGATTCTTCTAATTTGTTCGTTTCCCCTGTACTTTTAAAACAGAATACATCAATGCTATGAGAAGTATAAAATAACTGTTTCAAAACACAATCAAGATGACTTGTCATACTTAATGAGATTTATAGACTTGTTCATTATTTTTCCTGTTTTTTCTAATGTACCTATTCTCTGTATCAGATTGTCTCTCCTCATACAGTACTGTACACTGACTTTCAATGAATGACTTATAGAAAAGTCTTTTATATCTTTTACTGCTTTGCATGATAGCTATAATACACAGCATAACAAAAATAAGCAATTTGGCGTGTTAATTATTTCTCAATCTCTGGAAAGGAACAATAGCTCGCTTAACTTCAGAAGAGCAAGCTTGGTTCTTTGCTTTCCATTAAGAAAAACTTTTTTTCCTAAAATCAAAAGCTTATTTGATTGTAAGGATTTTGTTTTTATGCACTCCGACTGGACTGACTTCGGTTTCTATATATTACTAGGAATTACAATAGGATGAAAAGCAGTGATTGCTGAATTGATCAGGCCAGATCGAGCATCTCTCTGCCACTGCCAAAGAGAAACGAGAGTGAATTCTAATATACGACTCGGGTTAGACGCCACACATCACATACATTTGCATAAAATACGATTTTGCCAAATTATTTGGGGGCTGAGAGTATTTCAGTAAATGGGCATTTGGACAGTGAGGGACTTTTTACATCATGGGAAAGGTCCTTTTTAATTTTTCCCCAGCTAATCAGGATTTTGATAAACTAGGTTTGTGTGTACTATGGTAGTAAATGTCCTTCTGATTCACTGAATAATTTAATAATCCCAGTGATTTCTGTACATCCGAACTACTATATAAACATATCCACTCATACAGCATATGAGATCACAGCAGGCATGCACAGCTTTGTCCCACGCATAGATAGGACCTATATTAAGTATAACTTGTTTACTATCAATTATTAAATGTTACACAGCCTGCTTGTTCTCTCTTTATCCCAGTGTAAAACAGGCCTAATTTCAAGGAAGTCAGTGGATTTACATTAGTTCACAACTGGTCAAAATGAAAGGAGAATCAAACCAGTAATGACCATTTTTAAAAGAAATGGCAATAGGCGGACATTTTACTACTAAAATACCAAGGTATGTGAAATATAGGGCCTACAGAACTTGAGCAAGCTCTTTTAAAACACCTGTTGGTGTCTAATCCCATGTCAAATTTTTTTAGATGACATGCCCCAGCACAATAAAACCTAAAAACTTTTCACGTAACAGTCAAAGCCACAACTACATCCACAGTAAACAGTTCGTCATAACCCTGTTTCTGGTGCCACGGTTCATCCATTTTGTCTGCATGACTTGCTGTAAATTAAAGTGCACCACTGTGCTGTGTGCAACCACACGGATTTGATCAGTATGTGGTAACTGCCTCAGGATGTGATTTGTTTTCAAGTTATTTTGGTATTTGTGCTCTGAAGTTAGAATGTCAGATAGTCTTTTAGAAAGAGGAAAGATCTGTTTTGCTTTTGCTTAGGGTCAGACACTGAGCATTTGAAACTTCTATTAATAAAAGCTTCTCTGAATCATGAGATGTGCTAATGTAGAAGTTACCTAGTTTCAAAAGGGAGACAGTGGGGACTATATAAAGATTCTCTCTTACATACATTTCATATAAAAAATCTGGGCCTCTAAAACTTTCAATAAGCAACCAGTCCTCCACATTACATTTGGACATAATCTACCATGCTTGGAAAGGCTTATGATTTTGAGAAGTCTCTCTCAGTAATGCTGCCTTTCTACAGCTGGCCTCTTTATTATTTAGAGGATATCTTGTGGATTAAATACTCCAAACATATTTCCTCTTATTGTTTTGATAAAGTTTGGGTGGGACAAATGTCAACAAGTCTGATAACATAAATGGGGTAATTTAACAGAAAAGGTTCAGCTAACTTTAAACATTAGAAAGCGATAAAGAAATCCTACTCTGACATCTGATCCTCTAAAATGTGAAAGTGCTGTAAATGTTTAAAACAGCGTAAAACGGTACAGAGTATAAAAATGAAAGGCTATCATAATTTCACTCAGCTGTGTTGCTGAAAATCTCTCTGAACTTTTCTCACACCTCTTAGTGTCATATTCATGGGGATCTGGAGAGATCACAAGAGGAGGTGTATGCTGTTTGCAGTAATGGTCCAATCTTTGAATATTTTTAGCTTCTTTCCTCTTCTGGGGTAAGGCACAGTCTGGCTTCTTTATTTCCTCCGAAGAGATTTCACAAGTCTAAGAAGAAGATAAGTGTAATTATATTAATAGAAATCTTTACAAATTGAGTTTGCTACAGGTAAGTGATTAGTTCATAAACAATTCTCCATTAAATTTGTAGTCAGCACGAGCAATAACAGTATTAACCACTTTTCCTCTTCCAAGGCTTACATGTTATCTATTTAATCCTCACACTATTCTTGTGAGATAGAGCAGCATTGTTCTCGCTTTCACAAGGGGGAACTTGTAGAGGCAGAGAGAGAGAGTATGTCTTGGTTAATGTTTTAGCAGGAATCTGTGTCACAGCCAGGATTAGAATTGACGAAATCCTGGCTCCCAGGCATGTGCTCAGGCCCGCACACTAACATTCCAGGCTTGATTCTCCTTTAAACTGGGTTCAGGTAATTTACACTCATTTACATTTTAAGGCCACTTTACCCCGTCAGATTACAGCAAAGTGTCACAGAGACAGAGTTTAAGGCCAGAAGGGACCACCAGATCATCTAGTCTGATCTCCTGTATATCACAGACCACCACCACCATCCACACACTTAAACCCAACAATTCAAATTAGACCAATGTAATACAGCCCATAGGAGACTAGGCTATTAGGGGAATAAGGATAACCCAGGGAATTAATGGAGCAAATAATTAAACAGTCAATTTGCAAACAACTAGAAGAGAATAAAGGTGATAAATAACAGTCAACATGGATTTGTCAAGAACAAATTATGTCAAACAAATCTAATACCTTTTTTTAACAGAGTAACAAACCATGTAGATGGGGGAAGTGGTAGATGTCGTATATCTGGACTTTAGTAAGGCTTTTGATACTGTCTCACATTACCTTCTTGTAAACAAATTATGGAGACACAGCTTAGAAGGAGCTACTGTAAGGTGGGTGCATAACTGGTTGGAAAACTATCCCCAGAGAGTAGTTATCAGTGATTCACAGTCAGGGTGGAAGGGAATATCACATGGGGTCCTGCAGGGATCAGTTCTAGGGCCAGTTCTGTTCAATATCTTCATCAATGATTTAGATAATGGCATAGAGTACACTTATAAAGTTTGCAGACAATACCAAGCTGGGAGTGGTTGCAAGTGCTTTGGAGGATAGAATTAAAATTCAAAATGATCTGGACAAACTGGAGAAATGGTCTGTAGTAAACAGGATGAAATTCAATAAGGACAAATGCACAATACTCCACTTAGGAAGGAACAATCAATTGCACACATACAAAATGGAAATGACTGCCTAGGAAGGAGTAGTGTGGAAAGGGATCTGGGGGTCATAGTGGATCACAAGCTAAATGTGAATCAACAGTTTAACACTTGCAAAAAAAGTGAACATCATTCTGGGATGTATCAGCAGGACTGTTGTAAGCAAGACACAAGAAGTAATTCTTCCGCTCTACTCCGCACTGATAGAGCCTCAACTGGTGTATTGTGTCCAGTTCTGGGAGCCACATTTCAGGAAAGATGTGGACAAATTAGAGAAAGTCTAGAGGACAGCAACAAAAATGATGGAAAGATCTAGAAAACGTGACCTATGAGGGAAGACTGAAAAAATTGGGTTTTTTTAGTCTGCAGAAGAGAAGACTGAGGGGGGACATGATCATAGTTTTCAAGTACATAAAAGGTTGTTACAAGGAGGAGGGAGAAAAATTATTCTCCTTAAACTCTGAGGATAGGACAAGAAGCAATGGGCTTAAATTGTAGCAGGGAAGGTTTAGGTTGGACATTAGGAAAAACTTCCTGAATGTCAAGGTAGTTAAGCACTGGAATAAACTGCCTAGGGAGGCTGTGGAATCTCTGTCATTGGAGGTTTTTAAGAGCAGGTTAGACAAACACTTGTTTGGGATGGTCTAGTTATTACTTAGTCCTGCCTGGAATGCAGGAGACTTGACTAGATGACCTATTGAGCATCCTTCCAGTCCTATGATTCTATGTGCCACAGGCAGAGAATAGAAGGGACCATGGTGCACCAGTGCCCCAGGCCCCTGCAGTGGCTGGGAAATGATTAAGTGAGATAAACTAATCCTAGCAAGTGACCTGCTACATGTATACAAAATATTCTACATTTGGTCTGTCTGATGGGAACACGCGTTATGGTCAAAAGTGTCACATACGGATGCCTCACCTTATGCAGTGAAATTAATGAATTGATTGATGAGGTGCTGCCTTCAAATGTCAGCACCTCTGAAAATCAGGTCACTTATTTTGATACTTAAATTCACATACTTATTGGCCTGATCCAAAATCCTTTAAATCAATGGAAAAACTCAGATTCATTTCAACAGGCTTTTATTGAATCCTATGTTTCAAAAGTGTGCTTTTGCTTTTGTTGTACAGTAACTCTTCACTTAATATTGCAGTTATGTTCCTGAAAAATGTGACTTAAAGTGACATGATGTTAAGTGAATCCAATTTCCCCATAAGAATTAATGTAAATGGGGGTGGGAGGGTATAGGTTCCAGGGAAATTTTTTTCACCAGACAAAAGACTATATTTTTTTTACACACACACATACTCACTCTATAAGTTTTAAACAAACAATTTAATACTGTGCACAGCAAAAATGATGATTGTGAAGCTTGGTTGAGGTGGTGGAGTCAGAGGGTGGGATATTTCCCAGGGAATATCTTAGTGCTGAATGATGAACTAGCACTCGTCTGAGCCCTCAAGGGTTAACACGTTGTTGTTAATGTAGCCTCATATTCTACAAGGCAGCACAAATGGAGGGAGGGGAGACAGCATTTGAGACAGAGACACACGCGCATTGCCCCTTTAATATGCTGACCCCACTCTAAGTACATTGCCTTTTTAAGTATATCAGCAAGTTGCGAGACCAGCTGCTGTTAGCAAGTTCCCTCCATCCTGAGCCCTGTCGTGTCCCCGCTCGCTCTATAGAGATGGGGTAAGTGGGGGGCAGGAATGGGGGGAGGGGGACACCCTGATATTAGCACCCCTCTTCCCCCCACCCCTGCACAGCAAGCTGGAGGATCCTGGGAGCAGCTCCAAGGCAAAGGGCAGGAGCAGCACATGGCAGTGGCGGGCGGGACAGCTGAACTGCCAGCAACTGATAGCCTGCTGGGTGGCTGTCACACAGGGAACTTAGGGAAGTGGGGAGCTGATAGGAGGCTGCTGATCCACCCTGGTTCCATGCCCCCACCAGCTAGCTCCAACGGGCTGCTCTTTCTGCAAGTGATGGACAAAGCAGGCAGCTGCCAAACAATGTTATAAGGGAGCATTGTACAACTTTAAAAGAGCATGCTCTCTAATTGATCAGCAACGAAACGTTAACTGGACAACTTTAAGTGAGGAGTTTCTGTAGTATAAATGTAGAAGCCAGTATGTTGTCCTTGACTTTATTTGAAATAAAGAGACAAAAGAATTGATATAATTGTATAGTGTTTTTTAAATAAGCTGAGAATCAGGGAAGGTGAGGTTTATTTACTATAAAAGTCTCTCTCCTTGGGCAGCTATGTATATTAAAGTTTTGGGGGGATTTCTTCATTCTGATGCAAGCTGACCATTCCTTTTTCCCCAAGATAGGATGGCCCCTGTCCAACTAGTCTGTTTCATTGCAGGGAGTGGAAGGTCATGGGTATTTTCAACTGGAGGTGATCTGATATGATTTTATGGAGCAGCAAAAGACTTTGGCTAAATCCTGCTCTCAGGAACATGATTGTATATCCACAATAACTATTAAAGTCAAAGCAGTGACTATGGATTTACAGTCAGAGTGCAAAATTTGATCCTTCATCATTGCAATTTATGGGGAACTTGTTGTTAAGGTGCAACAATGGAAAATGTTCTGTTACCTCTTTAATGATTAAAGTAGCATGACCTGTATTACTTACTGCCGCAACAATTAGCTTTGAAGCTGATGAAATGAGCCTCATGACTTCTTCTTGTGATGTGTATGGGGGAGGAGGAAATTGAGATAGTCTGGAAGGGAAGCTGTGCAGCTTCTTTATTCTAGTTAAACATGAAAGAATATATTTTAATCCATGTTGAAAAAAATTCTATACATATCAATAGGATATAATATACCACAGGTGTTTGTGAACATCAGGAATGTAAATAAATTGCCATGATTTCAAAACAGACAGACTGCTGTGAATATGGTGACATTTATTACACTATTCTATGAACTGTTATGCAAAGGCTTGTATGTGGGACATTTTGAAGCTGTGGTATAAAATAATTAGCTTCTCAATAGTTTCTGTTTTATTAACAGAATTAAAGTCATAGAAAAGATTTTTCTACCTGAAGTTATAAACTGGATTTCTGTGCTACGCGTTCAGAGATTATTTTTACATTTATGTTTCTGTGGGGAAAAGAATAGGGAGAGCCCAGCTCTTGATTTGATCCTTATAGAGAGAGGTCTGTTTTGTATTTCTAAACATGATGATCCATGTCTCCTCTTCCTGTCCTTTTACACAGAGATTGCCAGCACCCTTCCTGCTTGCAGCTGTTTATCGGAGTTTAGGTTCATGAGTGAATTATATTCCATAAAGCAATGCCAGTCTAAAGGCTCCTCCCCGCAATTTTCAGATTTTCTCCCACCCAGTTATTCTATGCTCAGCATTTCCTTCATACATACACTTCTCAAACCTCCCCACAAGCCACCACTACAATGTTCCTCTTCCAGCAAAGAAGAGGAAAGTCAGTGGCACTTCTATTCCATCAATAGGTCAGAGAGATCCATCTGGAGAGTGGAAATTCATCAACCTGAGTTTCTTGAGCAACAGTTACTCCCATAACTCAAGCTCCAGTGGCTTAGGAGTCATACCTGGGTCTGCTGTGTAGCAGTATATTGCACTGCTGATGTATGTGGCCTGGCCCAAGACAAATGCTTAATAGAATTTACTGTGATCTATACATTACCTTTTTGTACTCCTTACTAAGACTGGGAAATGTCTGTCAGTTACAAAATCCTTCAAAACAAACAAACATATTATTGCATTTATTTAATGCAACTCTGACTGTAATTATCTTCTTCAGAGGGACTTTAGTAAAGCTGCAAAATGGCTCATGTCTCTCAATTATTTTCAGGTGGTTTTTTTTCTAAAATATTAAAACAGGAACTTTCTTTATCAAATTGCTTTTGTGCTTGTTCATAACATTACTTTTTATTGTAGTGATTTTAACAGGCCTATCTTCATAGCAGCTAGGTGCCATGTTAAAGTACTTTAATGACATAAAATTCTGATAGAAGGGGAAAATTGAACTTTTATGTTTGTATTTGAACAGGAAAATACTTTATATGTATAAAGAAGAACATTAAGTGTTACTTGTGCCAATTTTTTTTTTTGATGATCTTCATTTCCTGTTGTCTTTCTGGACTGCTCTGTAATTTTCTTTCACATTCTTCAGAATTTCCTGTATACACTCGAAGAGATGCTTCGAATTTACAATCTGTAAAATTATGCTTGAGGCACTGATCACATTTTTGTTCAGCAATGCTTCCAGGATGCTGTAATAAATAAAAATGGTAGAAAATTATGGGTAAAATATGGATATTTACAGAAGGAAAGTCAATCTTAATCCATGTAGATCATTAAGAAAGACATTCATTTTACATGGTACACAACACACAAAATGCATACCTTAGTTACCAAACTCCTGATTCAGGAAATTACTTAATAACATGCTTAACACGGTGTATATGCTTAAGTCCCACGTACCTCTGTCCCTTATATTTACACACACATGCTTGTTCTTTTCTGAACACGGATGCTCTCCTAAACCATCAAGCAAACTGTACACTTGTGTTTGCAGGACAGGTAAATCATAAAAATTAGTACTAAAACTACTCATTAAGGATTGCTCTATTTAAAAAAAAAACCATAAGTAGTACAATAAAGGCTCTTGTTATACCTTAATATAGAAAGCATGTTGATGATGTGGTGCATAAAATATTAGATACATTCTACTTAGACAGCAACCTTTCAACTAAGAGTTTAAAATTATTGTACAAGCATTCATTCATTAATTGACTTTCCCAAGGGCAAAACAGTGAGTCAATAGCAGAACTGGCAATATAATTCCAAAGTCCTGATTTTCACTCATGCTTGAGTCATATCACTGTCCCCTGGCATTATCTAGGGTCCAGTCCTGTCAACAAACACTTTCACATCAGTAACTTTACATAGGCAAGTCATTCTGTTGCACTCAGTGGAAGTACTTGTGCACATACTTGTGCCCATGAACATAAGGGTTAGCGGGATCTGTGCCTGCCTTTGTGTTTCTGCATAGCAGATGGGAGATTAATGCAGGTAATTCACATTAACACAAAATGTGCATGTAAATTTCTATGCGGCAGTGGGAAAATAAATGTCACTCTACTGCAAAAGAATTTCTATACATTTTCACAGGAAAAGTTATACATTTTTTCTCTGGCTTATTAGAGATTTCCTCATTGTGCAGCAACGAGGGTGTGACAAATTGACAAGTAATTCAGTGTGCAAAGTACACTTCCTCATTAATATAAAATACAGTGAAAAACCTGTTCTTCCAACTTACCAGGTCTCTAAGCAGCATCAATTTACAAACTGGCCAACTATGATGATTAGTTGTTCTATTTGTTTAAAGACTCTCAGAGAAGTTTTATATAACCTAGAAAACCTGCAACATAAGATGTAACCCAAGGGGAAAAAAACCTTCTCAATAAGGAATGCAGGTTCCAAAGCGCATCTGGAATTGTGGATTCCTTAAAATTTCCAACCGTTCCACTAGCAGTGCAGCTTCATCAGAGATAGTAATGGAGGCGTGGAGGGGGGCTGGCTACTGGTGTTTTAACCACTGTGTTGTCTTACCCAGCTCAGGAGAGGTCTCTGAGACACGGTGGTTCAAATGCCAGAAGCAACCTTTACCCTGTTTATTCTAATCACTGTTGCTACCACTGATAGAGCTACGCTAGTGCTAGCAATAGAAAATATTAAGAAAAATGTTAGTGTGGACAAGACCTGGGATTTCTGAATTTTATATTGTTGAACAGCAAATACCATGTTTTCCATTTGGTCTTGGTTTTATTTTGGTCTTAAGTTTTGTTTACAAAAGTTATTTACTTTGTGTGTGTTTGTTTTTGAAAAGGCAAATATGTTATGAAGTGTCCTATCTTTGGGGCAGAGTTACTGATACTAAGGAGAGCTAGAAATTCTCTGATACAAATGTTCTTTTTGCCATGGTGGAAATAAAACATGATAAATAAATATTGTGATGATCTGAGTGGTGAGCAAAAGAAGGCATGCACCACTTCTGGTAGGGATCGGTACTTAGGCCCTGATTGAGGAAAGCTATTAAGTACATTTTTAAGTTCCAGTGATGCCAGTGGGACTTAAACACAAGCTTAAAGTCAAGCATATGCTCAGGGTGCTTTCCTGAATCAGAACCTTGGTTAGCTCCAGATTCCATATAGGATCCCTTGATATCTGAAATATCAGGTATACATACAGCTTTGATGAGCTACTACAGTATCTATAGATAATTTATGACCCTGGTAATTTATTCTGTCCAAATGTCTGGTATCTTCTCCAAGGTACAGCCAAAAGCAGCATATTGTTTGCTCCTCAGAATACAGTACATACATAGAACAGCCCAAATTCTGCTTAGATTTAGGTTCCTTGCAACTCCATTGAAGTCATCAGGGATGCATGTAGCCCAGTCTTTAGTATTAAAAGGACTTCAAAACATGACTTTCTGGACCTCAGGTAAGAATAGGTAATTGGTGCATAAGAAGGTTCCACTTTTTATGCTCAATTTAATTTTACATGGAATTAAATATTTATATGGATTTGTTTTTATAAGAACATAAGAATGGCCATACTAGTCAGACTAATGGTCCATCTAGCCCAGTATCCTGTCATTGTTGGCCAGTGCCATATGCCTCAGGGGGAATAAACAGAACAGGGCAATTACTGAGTAATCCATCCCCTATCATTCAGTCCCAGCTTCTGGCTGTCAGAGGTTTAGGGACACCCAGAGCATAAGATTGTATCTCTGACCATCTTGGCTAATAGCTGCTGATGGACCTATCTTCCATGAACATATCTAATTCTTTTATGAAACCAGTTATACTTTTGGCCTTCACAGCATTCTCTGGTAACAAATGTAACAGGCTGACTGTGCATTGCGTGAAGAAGTACTTCTTTATGTTTGATTTAATCCTGCTGCTGCCTGTTAAATTTCATTAGGTGACTCCTAATTTGTGTGTTATATGAATGGACAATTAACACTTCCCTATTTACTTTCTTCACACCATTCATGATTTTATAGACCACTATATCATATCCCCTCTTAATCACCTTTTTTCTAAGGTGAACAGTCTAAGCTTATACAGTAACAGTGTGAATATTTCTAAGGCTAAATAAAATATTCACCACCCTCACATGTGCATGAGTTAAATAATCAATTGCCAATTGCAGTATCTAGTATGTCCTCTAGAAAGGGACTATATTCTGGTCTTGCAGGGAGGAGGATTTGATGATGTGGTAGATTTTTTTTCCGTCATAAACTACCACCACCCAAAAGAGAAAATAAAAGCATACCTTAACGGTCCTCAATTTAATTTCCTTTCAATCAGATTTAAAAGGAAGAGACATAGCAACAGTAACTAGGTCAGACTCATTTTTCCAGCATTTCTTGGGCTTCATTAGTTCATGCAATCCTGATCCTGCACTGACATTCACTCAGGCAGCCCCCTGTGTCTGCACAGAGCACCACTGATGTTATCTTGCATCTTGTGTTGACTTCAGTGGGAGTCTGCACGGGCTCAGGGATCCATCAAGGTGCAGTGCAGGACTGGAGCCTATTTGCCCTTTTGAAAACTATATGCGTTTAAGTAAATACTTACCATATAGAAACTGGGACTTTCAGCCTCATTCCTGCTAGCTCCAGATAAATCAAAACTATCTTCTTTTCTTTGCACATCAATGTAATATTTTCTAGACAAAACATACTTTCCAGTTTCAGTAAAAGAAAAATAGAAAGTGGGATGGGCAAACTTTTTGGAGTTTGGGATCTTGTGAATCTCTTGCCTATTTCTTAGAGTTGTAAATCTAGTTCACGTTATCCAAATATTTCAACTCTAATTTAAGTCCATCTTCCCACCCCTATCCCCAAGGGCTATTCCATTTAAAAACAAAAATCTAGTTTTCTAGCAAAAAAGAAGTCTGTGCTATGTATTAGAGACAGAAGCACTCACTTCCTTAAGGTGTTCCTCAGCACTAGACAAAAAAGTTAGGCTTGCATGAACAGGAGGCCCTGCATATAGTATGTACAGAGAGGCTGTGTTCGTAGTAGTATTGGATTCTTACACTCTGTTCCCCTTTTCAACTGATCCCTAAGCAAAATGTTAACCCAGTAACATTTTATTTTGAGCTGAACTATTGAACAATACTAGAGACGATTTGCCCTATTTCTAACACTAATCCTTAGCCATTTACTCCCCTCATCTCTGTTCACCCCTCTCCTAGTCACCACTCACCATCTGTCTTCTTCTTCCAGGCACTAACCACCCATTCCCAGTCACTTGTCCCCCTTGTATTCATGCACAACACCTGTGTGCACTTCCCTTATGTACTCATATAGCTACACATCCCCCATGTACTCCATGTTCATGCGCAGACCTCATACGTATACACTGTTCATCCAAATACAGACCCTCAGATACCTCATATCCATATACCGCCCATGCATCAACTGTAACGATGTATCCCCACACTCCTGAGTAACCATACGGTCCCAGTGCCTATGATGCAACCATCATACTCCGATGCCAGAAATCCAATCCCCATGTATCCCTGGGGAACCCCATATCCACTCATCGCTCTATCGTATGCGCCACCTATTCCAACGCACTCACCATGCTCCCTCCATGTACCCCCCAAACCCATGCAATCTCCAATTCCCAGGTCCCTCCCTACCCCATATATCACACCACATCCATGCACCCCCCAACCCATGCTCCCTCCACGTCCCCCCCCCACGTACTCATGCAATATCCATGCAGGGCGTAACCCGCAACCCTCTATTCCCAGTCCCCCCGATGTACATGTCCCCACCCCACGCCATACCCTGGCTCTCTCCTGCACCCCGCAACCCCATGGAGCCCCGTCCCCGTGCGCTGCTCACGAACGCACCCGCCACCCTGCTCCCCATATGCAAGCGCCCCGCCCGCTTACAGTCTTTGAGACACGGAGCGGACGAGGCCCCTGGGGGAGACCCGCTCCGCCATATCCCCGCAGCAGGCAGCACGGTCCCGCACTCTGGTTGCCATGGCAGCCACAGGGACGCTCGCTTTGACTGACAGTACCTCTCTCCAATGGGCAGGGGGCCATTGGGGCCGAGGAGCCAATCGGAGCAGGACAGAGGCGGGAAGACTGTACGCCAACTTGAGCGAGCCTTCTGGATACGTCATCGCTCCGCGCCGCGGTGAGGACTTTCCAGGCCCGGGTCAGGGCAATGGAGGCAGCCGCTGCTCCGGCTGTGAGGGGGCTGCGCGCGGGCTGCCAGCGTCTCTGCTACGGGGCAGGTACGGGGCGGCTTTGCGCTGGGGTCACCCCCTCACCTGGGGTCACAGCTTCCCCCTCTTATGGCAACAGTGGGGTACCCCCTTCCTGCGTCACCGCCCCCAGATCCCACCCCCTCCCTGGGGTACCCCATTCCCCCGTCACGTTCCGGGGTCACTGCCCCCAGACTTCCCCTTCCTTTCCCCATACGCCGTCACCTTCCGGGTCAGTCCATACCCTGCCGCTTTCTGGGGTCATGCCCACTCCAGTCCCTGGGTTCACCCCTTCCTCCCATATGTTATTGCCGCCTGGGGTCACTCCTCCATCCTCTTCCTGGGGTCACCAAATTAATGGGCAGCAGGTTTAAAACAAACAAAAGGAAGTATTTTTTCACACAGTGCACAGTCAACCTGTGGAGCTCCTTGCCAGAGGATGTTGTGAAGGACAAGACTTTAAAAGGGTTAAAAAAAAGAACTGGGGGTCCATCAATGGCTATTGGTAGGGATGGTGTCCCTAGCCTCTGTTTGCCAGAAGCTGGGAATGGGTGACAGGGAATGGATCGCTTGATAGTTACTTGTTCAGTTCATTCCCTCTGGGGCACCTAGCATTGGCCAGTGTCGGAAGACAGGATCCTGGGCTAGATGGAGCTTTGGTCTGACCCAGTGTGGCCGTTCTTATGGGGTCACCCCTTCCAGTCATACTCTATCCCTTGCAGGTTTACAATTATCTCCACCCTCTCTTATCCCCACCCTGGAGTCGCCTCCCACCAGCCCATCCCCTTCAAGGGTCGTCCATCACCCCTGTGCTTCATCCCCACTCCTGGGGTCATCTGAGCTCCTTTGAGTTTAATCCCCCATATCCCAATTTCACCCTAAGGTAACCTGTCATCTGTTCCCCTTCTCTCCATTTTCCATTCCTGACTCAGAATCCCTCCCCTGCATCACACTGGAGTCATGTATCAGAAAGGGGTAAGTAAGTAGGTACAATATTGAGTAAATGGTGTGTGCACTCCATGTTAAGTGTATGGATATTTCATTAAGACTTCCCTCACTTTCAGTGGTGGTAGAGAATTATAGCTCACATCAGTTGTATCTCTGTTTGACAGGTTCTGAAAGAAAATGGAGTTTGCAGTCAAAACAGACTTCTTTCAGATTTTATAGTACTGGAATGACGTTGGACAACATCAACAAGCCAGCCATAGATCGCATAATCAGGGTGGATCATGCAGGGGAATATGGGGCAAATCGTATTTATGCTGGGCAAATGGCTGTGCTAGGTAGAACTACAGTAGGACCAGTCATTCAGGTTAGTATCTGTGGATCTAACTCCATCTTATCTTTATGCTTCTTATGTACTCAAAGACATATTCTTTAGCTGAAGTACAATAAAATAAATCACAAGGCTATAATTTAAGGTTTGCAATGTTTACTTTAAAACAACTGGTCTTACAAAAGCTCTTCCTATGGTAAAGTATAAGTATGACACATAACATCATAGTGATCGGATTGGCGGATGAGTAGAACCCTACCAAATTCATGGTCCATTTTTGTCAATTTCATGGTCATAGGATTTTTAAAATAATAAATTTCATGATTTCCGCTATTTAAATCTGAAATTTCATGGTGTTGTAATTATAGTTGTAAATGACCCAAAAAGGAATTGCGGAGGGGGCGGTCACAAGGTTATTGTATGGCTGGATTGCAGTATTGCTACCCTTAGGTGATGCTGCCTTCAGAGCTGGGCAGCTGGAGAGCAGCAGCTGCTGGCTGGGGTCTCAGCTCTGAAGGCAGAGCCGCTGCTAGCAGTAGCACAGAAGTAAGGATGGCATGGTACGGTATTGCCACCCTTACTTCTGTGCTGTTGCCTGCAGAGCTGGGCCCTCAGTCAGCAGCCAACACTTTCCAGCCGCCCAGCTCTGGTATGGTATTATCATCCTTACTTCTGCACTGCTGCTGGTAGGGCGCTGCCTTGAGAGCTGGGCACCCGGGCATCAGCCGCCAGTCTCCAGCTGCCCAGCTCTGAAGGCAGTGCAGAAGTAAGGGTGGTGATACCACAATCCCTCTAAAATAAACTTGCAGCCCCACTTAAATTTCCTTTTGGGTCAGGACTCCCAATTTGAGAAACGCTGGTCTCCCCTGTGAAATCTGTATAGTATAGGGTAAAAGCACACAAAGATCGCAGGAGGGGACCAGAATTCACTATCCGTGACGTGTTTTTCACGATCGTGAATTTGGTCAGGCACAACTGATGAGTGAATCATAGACATGCAGTTGTTGCAGTGGTTTGACAAAGGCTTCATTGTTATGTTTTAGGTGTCAAGAATCTTGTAAAATAAAACTCATTTTATATGAAATAAAAGGAATTAGGGAAAGCTGTGAAATAACTGTTCATATTCCCTTTCTCCAAAATGTTAACTTATTACTGAATATAAATAGGTTTTAAGAAAACCTAATAGTAAAGTGTTAACAAATATGCATGCATCTGATGAAGTGGGTATTCACCTGCGAAAGCTTATGCTCCAATAGGTCTGTTAGTCTATAAGGTGCCACAGGACTCTTTGCCGCTTTTACAGATCCAGACTAACACGGCTACCCCTCTGATACTTAACAAATATGACCAACACTCTTCCTCTAAATTCGTCAACTTTCATTCTTGCTTCTTCTGTTGTCCTCATTTTCTAATTTTTCAGCCCTCATAGAGTTTTCTGTGTTAGACAGGACCTGAATTTCCAATGTAAAAGCAAGCAAGAGGGGAAAAAAGACACACAACCCATCCCCACCCGCACACCTTTCAGGCCCTGTTTATGTATCACAGAGGAAAAAAACAGTCACAAACCAATTTAATCTATTTCGTAGATCAACTTTAAAAATCAAATTAAAATTAGCATGAGCTGAAGTTAACATCCATTGATTTTTTTCTCTACATTTATAGTTAATGCCTTATTTTCTATTGTTATGTTTTTTCTGTTTATTTTATTTCTGTTGCAGCAAATGTGGGATCAAGAAAAGGACCATCTGAAAAAGTTTAATGAGTTAATTGTCACATTTAGAGTTCGACCTACTATTTTATTGCCTTTTTGGAATGTTGCAGGGTTTGCTTTAGGTGAGTGCATGGTCTTATTGATGTTGTTATTAATAATGTAGGTTTGAGGTGTGGTGTTTGAATTAATTTGTTTGATAATTACAGGTGCTGGAACTGCTTTACTTGGAAAAGAGGGTGCAATGGCTTGCACTGTGGCAGTGGAAGACAGCATATCAGAGCATTATAACAACCAGATCAGAACACTAATGGAGGAGGATCCGGAAAAATACAAAGAATTATTGCAGGTATGTGAATGTGGTTTAAAGGTATTTAACATATTCTCTGAACAGTATACTGAGACAATATTCTTCAAATGACATAAATATGGCATTTGGATTTGCATCAGATTAATTTCTTACTGCTAGTTCAGAAAACTAAAGGCAGTGAAACACTCAAAATGAAAAGTGTTATGTTTAAATTAGCTGTTGGATTTTCTTTTTGATGTATATTAAATGTAAATATCTGAGATCACAGCTACAGAGCCCATTTCTAGTAGTTTCAATCTGTGTTTTTGTTGGGGACAGAAAAGGCAGCCTATGGTGCCCAAACATTTTAATTTAATGGGAGGGACTAGAGAAAAAGAAAATGAACTAATTGTAATAATGTACCATGTGGCATGCTTTGGTTATACTGGGTATGACAATATCATTGCAACTTCAGATACTCTGCAGACTTTGAGAGCGGCTGATCTCTCACCTTCACTTAGACTAGGAAAGTGGTTCCTAATTCCTTAAAACTTAACACATTTGGGCCACAATCTTGCATTGAGCACCTAATGGGCAGACTACAGTGCCTGTGCATAGCCCTGTTGATTTCAATAGGGGGTCTACCTGTGAGGTGCTTGTTATAAGGTCAGGGCCTAAGAAGTCAGCTGTAACAACCCATTGACCACTACTGCCTAGTCAGTTATACTTGGGCTGACCTGTAGTGGAGGTTGGGCTGCTCCAGATCCAAGTCTCATAGTCCCAAAACTGGGATTTGAAGTAGCCCAAACTCTGTTGCTGATTAGCATCTGCATGACTGAGTGAGAGCTGAGCTATGAGCACAAAGGTACCATGTTCAAAAAGGCTGGTCTGTGTACCAGTAAAACTACAAGACAAAGCAACTACTGAATGCATCGAGCAGGATAGAGGGAGTATCAAGAACTCAAATTGTCCAGCAGAGTAAAATGTTCTAACTTTGATGTCTGGAGACCCTGAGCATGTCTTTAGCAAAAGTGTATTTTTTTTTTTATTTATACAAATATAAAAAGAGGAGCCTACGCAAAGCCCTATGTGAGGAAAACTGTCATGTATGATAGAAAAATCTCACACCATTAGTTCACGTGTTTTGCTTGAAGGTATTTGGTTTAATAATTTCTGCAATCGGTACTTCACAAAGGAGAAAATTTTGCGTTTTATATTCAGCTCATAGCTTGAGTCCTAGTTTTTTCTCTTCTAGGCTCTGATCCTGCAAGTTGTTTCATACAGGAGGACACTTGAATCCACTGGAGCCTCATGGACTTGCAGATGTCTTCCCTCATGGAACAATTTGCAGGATTGGGGCCTTACTGTGTAAACGTAATAATCTTGGAATGGCTGTTGTCATGTTAATTGGGCTTGTCATTATTATAGGTTTTCTTTAAAAAAAACCTGAAAAAGAAATATTAGTTTGCTAATTACCACTTCAGTTTTCTAGAGAGATTTTTCAGAATATCAGAATAACCTGGGATTCAGGAAGTGCTCTAAATATGATAGGAAAATGTTCTAGCCTGATTTCTTAGATGAGACCAAGTGTATAATTGGTGTAGTATCTGATAACACTCCCTCAGGGGCCTTAACCCACCATTGCTTGCAGTGGGATGGACTCTATGGTCTGTCTCTTTCCATGTCATTAACCACTATGATCCTGGTTATAACCAGCATATTCATTATAGGGTTATGACATTTGGATAGGACACTCATGAATATTACTTGAGACTCTAATGGTCCAGGAGGAGAATACACACACTTTTCTATTAGGGCTGTCAAGTGCTTAAAAAAATTAATTGCGATTAATCGCACGATTAGAAAATAGAATGCCATTTATTTAAATATTTGTGGGTGTTTTCTACATTTTCAAATATTTCGATTTCAGTGATAACACAGAATACAAAGTGGTCAGTGCTCACTTTATATTTTTGATTACAAGTATTTGCACTATAAAAAACAAAAAGAAATAGTATTTTTCAATTCACCTAATACAAGTACTGTAATACAATCTCTTTATCATGAAGTTGAACTTACAAATGTAGAATTATGTACAAAAAATAACTGCATTCAAAAATAAAAATGTCAAACTTTAGACTAGAGCCTATAAGTCCACTCAGTCATACTTCTTGTTCAGCCAATCGCTCAGACAAAGAAGTTTGTTTACATTTGCAGGAGATAATGCTGCCCGCTTCTTGTTTACAATGTCACCTGCAAATGAGAACAGGCTGTTGCAGCCAGTGTTGCAAGATATTTGTGTGCCAGATGCGCTAAAGATTCATATGTTCCTTCATGCTCCAACCACCATTCTGAGGGACATGCGTCCATGCTGATGACAGGTTCTGCTTGATAGAAATCCAAAGCAGTGCGGACTGACGCATGTTCATTTTCATCATCTGAGTCAGATGCCACCAGCAGAAGGTTGATTTTCTTTTTTGGTGGTTCAGGTTCTTGTAGTTTCCGCATCGGAGTGTTGCTCTTTTAAGACTTTTGAAAGCATGCGCCATACCTCATCCCTCTCAGATTTTGGAAGGCACTTCAGCTTCTTAAACCTTGGGTCGAGTGCTGTAGCTGACTTTAGAAATCTCACATTGGTACCTTCTTTGCCTTTTGTCAAATCTGCAGTGAAAGTGTTCTTAAAATGAACAACATGTGCTGGTCATCATCCGAGACTGCTATAACATGAAACATATGGCAGAATGCAGGTAAAACAGAGCAAGGGATATACAATTCTCCCCCAAGGAGTTCAGTCACAAATTTAATTAATGCAGTATTTTTTTAACAAGCATTATCAACGTGCTTCTGGAATGGTGGCCGAAGCATGAAGGGCCATATGAATGTTTAGCATATCTGGCACATAAATACCTTGCAATGCCAGCTACAAAAGTGCCATGCAAATGCCTGTTCTCACTTTCTGGTGACATTGTAAATAAGAAGAGGGCAGCATTATCGCCTGAAAATGTAAACAAACTTGTTTGTCTTAGCGATTGGCTGCACAAGAAGTACGGCTTTGTGGACTTGTAGTCTCTGAAGTTTTACATTGTTTTGTTTCTGAGTGCAGTTATGTAACAAAAAAACCCTACATTTGTAAGTTGCAATCTTTGTCGTGAAAGTGCACTACAGTACTTGTATGAGGTGAACTGAAAAATACTATTTATTTTGTTATTTTTATAGTGCAAATATTTATAATAAAAATAATAGACACTGATTTAAATTATTACACAGAATACAATATATATGAAAATGTAGAAAAACATCCAAAATATTTAATAAATTTCAATTGGTATTCCATTGTTTAGCAGTGCGATTAAAACTGCGATTAATTGCGATTTAATTTTTTTGAGTTAATCATGTTAGTTAACTGCGATTAATCGACAGCCCTATTTTCTATATAGTTCCAAAAACATAGCATGAGCTTCTTTATTTCAGAAGCTGTTTCCTCATATACTATAGCTATGGGTTCTTCTAACTGGAAATTGTGGGGAGGGGATTTTTCAAAAGCATTCAGTTTCCTGCAGGTCTTGACCTCGGGTGTATTGTCCCTCAAGTGGTGATGTGGCCAGAAGTATGTAGTTTATGTACAGTTTCGTCATCTCGATGATTCATGTGTAGGTGAAAACTGTTACTAATCTGCTACCATTTCTTTTAAAAAGATAATAAAGAAGTTCCGGGATGATGAGCTGGAGCACCACGATGTAGGGCTTGACCACGGTGCAGAATTGGTAGGCGTAGAGCATTAATTCATTGCTGTTGATCATTGCTATGCATCCAGTTGTGATGGTCTCTCCTTCTCTTTGTGCAAATGAAAGTATAGAGCGTGGGTGGAAAATAACAGTACAATAATATTTCTTTAGTCTTTCTCAGGAAGCAGGTATAAGATAACACTGAAGGCATCTTCTTCAGAATCTGAAATGATGTGAATTTTTTTCCAGCAACAGAGTAGCATCCCGTTATGCTGCTGTTAAAACTAGTTCTTTGTTCCTAGCTAAGTATTGCACTCAACTCTGCTTTTGTTTTTTCAAATCGTAGCCTAATTTGAGTTTTCTTAAAAGATCAGATTAATAAGTCGACCTTTTGTCAGATAGAATAGTCGATCCCTTTCAGTCTTGGGAATACAGATATCACCCTGATATACCAAACACAATTGATTTAGGATGAAACTCTGGACCAAATTCTTCCTTCTCGTAATGCTTCATGAGCTCTGTGTAGTCCCTCTACTGTTTTCCTACCTCTGTGTGGGGGACCTGAAAGAGTCCGGTTATGTGGAGGGAAGGGGCATATTTTTCTCACATACAATATGTTTTAGTGCAAGGTAACGCCCTTTTAAAAAAAAAAAAAGGCTATTTGTCCTTTTCTGTGAAAGCAATATTGTTTCTCTAATGTAGATGAAAACAAATCTTTATATATTTAATATTTTTTAAAAAAATTAATACACGCCTTGTTACCACAAATCTATTTTTTTTTAATTAAGACTTCATCCAATGCATAATTATTATCTTTCTTTTTTATAGGCACCAGCTTATTCGCTTTTGAAGACTGCTATACAAATTGGATGTAAAGCTGCAATATTTTTATCAGAGCGAATTTAGCACTCTATTTTTCAATAATATAAAAGATTATGGTATTAATTTAAGAGTTAACCAGTGCACTTGTCAAATTATGTGAAACTAATCGATATTTTTTACAGTAACTGACTTTTTTCCCCCTTCTTTTTATAAAGGATCTGATTCTGCCAGTCTTACTTATGCTAAGTAGTATCTTGCGCAATAGGTATTTTCATCGAAATTAGTGGGGCTACATGTGAAGTAATATACTTACAATGTGAGTATGGATGGTAGAACTGGGTCCTTTTTGACTATATCTAAAATGAAATTAAAAGGCTGTTTTTTAACCAAAAAAAAAAAAAAATCTGGTTTTGCAAGTATTCACAAGGTGGCAGTAAAGCGTGTGTCTATGTTATAGTACAGACATTTAGTATTAGCCTTCTGTACTTGTACAGACTTTTAAAAATGAGCTAATCCTTCAATTTAAGACAATACATTTAGCACGGATTATTTTCTGAGTTTTATTTTCAGGGGAAGTAAATCAAGTTCTGGTAAGAATATTTCCCTCATATGTCTCAAATAAAGGTCTGTTATTACAGGGCTCTATTTCATTGATATGACTTTCAACTTTGTATTCTTCTTGGGCCTAATTCTGAAGTTATTTAGTCAAAAATTCCCTTTGTCCTGAATGTGTACAGAAAAAGTGGGCCCTATATACTTGATTTAAAGCAGAAGGACACAGATACTAGGTGCAATTAGCAACAGTGTTTCTTTTCATGAGTTTTAGCTCTTCCTATCCCATCTCTTCTTGGATAGAAACACACCAGCTTTCACAGAGCAAGGGAATAGGGTTCCCCAAACCTCTTAAAAGCACGCTAGCATGAGAGCAATTGAAGTAAACTAGACAAAATTCTGACTGCATCTTTCACAAGAAGTGCATACTGTCAATGCCTGATAATGACAGAGAAATACAGACCGCTCCATGCAATAATGCTGTTGGTATATCTTAAGCTGGAGGGATCACTGCCAGTTAATTCAGCAGAAGTACAGATTTTACAAAACTTCTTTCTAGAGCCCTGGGATGTAGACAGTTAATGGCTTCAAGCGGCCAAAGAGTAGGATTCGGATGTGAATTTCCAGATGAGACTGGTACAGCTTGTTTAGTAGGGAACTACTCATACAGTACAGGAGATCTTGGGCCATGTGGTGTCCAATGTTCCTTCTGCCTAAAGCACCTCTTGCCCATTCTTCCATTGTCACTGCCTTCTAGGGAAGGTGTAATCAAAACGAAAACTTTAAAGGAAATTCGGTACCGTTTTTTCACACACAAATATTCCTTTTTAACATTTTATAGTTTAATAATGAGTCAGGCCAATTTAATGCTACTTATGGCAGAGACTAAACCGCTTGCACTTCAATGCAAAATTTTCACAGTGACCTCTGCAGTGTTTAAGCAAAATCACTTCCGGAATGTATGCCAGTTAGGTGTGCTGACCTATTGATATAAAATCATTTGAGGTCACTGTTAAATTTGTGTTAAAGTGCAAGTTTGAAGCTGGGATACGTATTGATTTTGGTTGTCTGTTGGAGATAAGCTTTCACTTTTATCAACAGTGTTGTATGAAGATGGAAAGGAATGTAAAAGTCTTTCCTCTTGAATCATGGAAACAAAAAGTTAAGGTTTTGGGTGGAGGGAGTGTGTCCTGTTCCAACCTTATCTGCCACTAAACATAGTTCTTGTTTGCTAAGCTAGTTTTCATCCTTTCTGTTGAATGGAGAGCATTTAGCTTGTTTGCCAGATTAGAAATAGAATCCTTTTGTTGTTCAAGATTAAAAGTTGTAGCATATCAAGCACTGTTTCTTACAGACAAACCGAACAGTGGTGGAGAAATTATTGAAAAGCTGGCTCACAAGTGGGGAGTAGCATTTTTTGTGTGACTTCTTTGCAAAGGAGGGAATCAGAAGGTGAGAAACAGGGCATCTCAGAGGTACTGCTCATGCCACTATTATTGAAGTGTTGTTAGCACTACCAATATAAAACCTCTTTTACAGGGGGCTTATAAGTCATCTGTAAAAATTCATTCCTAGCTAAAACTTGGCATTTAAGGTTTCTGCAAGAGGATGATTTCCCTGCCCCCTTTCCCCGCCTTAAATTTGGTCAAAAAAAGTAGATCTTCAATAGAAACTTTTTGTATGCTCCCTATCAATAGTCACAAAGGCTCTTTATATAAACAGAAACAACAAAACCATCTAATTGGACAGGCAGTGGGATAAATTCTGTTCTCAGCTACACCCGTGTCGATCTGGAGAAACTCCATTGACTTCTAATGAGTTGAAGTGGACATCACTGAAGTCATTTACATTGTTTAAACAAAGTATAATTTGGTCCACAGTCCTTAGTCTCTTCACTCGCCTACTGGACCCACTCGACCCATTGGCTTTAACTCGTCTAAATCACTGAGTTCACGGGGAGTGGGAGTAAAAGGAAGTGAACTGTTCAAACAGACTTCCTGGATGAACCCCAGGAAGCTGTGACTAGCTCAGATATGACTTACATTAGTATTGAGCTAATGGTGTTCTCTGCCCTGGTTAATGCATTGATTTGATGTAAATGTTTGCCTGGAATGGGATCTAGATCTCCTGGTTCCATTCTCTATCCACTGGCCCATTCTGCATCCCTTTTACACTTGTGCTCATCTGTTCAGTAGGGAGAGGATTTTTTTAAACACTTGCTCATTGGCAGACTTTTTGGATCTGTAAAGCAGCGTGGGGCAATTGGTGTTCTTGACATGTTCCATATTGTACCCTGTACATGCCACACACATTCTGCAGAAATATTGCAGACATCATCAACTTGTTTTTCTTAAGTTTCTTAGCAAAGGGCTTATCTGTACTTGGAAATTGACTGAAATAACTGTTGTGGAATCATTATTTCGGTGTAAGGCCCTGTGTAGACACTTTTTTATTCTGGAATAAGAGTGTTTTTTTCTGATTTAGCTTAATCCACTATAATCCTTTTCTCATTACAGTATTATTAGCTCGAAACCTGTTAGTATTTAAGATGTCTGTGAAGTCACAAAGCAGAACACTTACATGTGGATTTTAGGACCTGTGAAATGAATAGACATCATTTATCATAAAAACATCAACCCCGTAGGCTAATAGTCTAATTTTGGGGAGCTGGAAGACCGGGCTTCCCAGCAATTTGTGGAAATTTTTGATTTAGCAGAAAGTGACTTTTCCATTGGAAAATCATTCTGACAGAAGAGTCCCAACAGTGGTAGAAATTGCCTTTTTGGCTGTTAGATGATCATTGTAAGCAAGTCCATGAAATTGATATTCCCAATCTGGTATATGTACATGTAGTGGTTAAATCTGCCTTTTGCCATCATAGATCATTCTAACAGGTGTTTTGGTGCTAAGGAGTTAAATTATTATTGGCTCTTGTTAGTACTCCAGCAAGCTGTATCATCCTTTACTTGTAGGCATGTGTCATTATAGGTGCAGAGTTCTTTGTTGCTTGTCAAAGCTTCCAAGATCATTGCAAGAGCAATCTCCAATTTGATCCTCACAGCTGAAAGCCCCACTGTTCACTGTAAGTAGAGCTGAAAGTAAGCCGGTATGGTCTGGCGTACCAGCAAGAGCCAGTACGCCATGCCGGACCAGATTGGCTTCCCCAAGCTTCCCGCAGCAGCAGGAGCCCCAGGCCCTTTAAAGTGCCCCCTGACCCAGCTGCTGGAGCCCTGGGGTAGCGATTTAGGGACTCAGCAGTGATTTAAAGAGCCCAGAGCTCAGCTGCGGTAGCAGCGGCCAGATCCCAGGGCCCTTTAAATCGCCCCTGAGCCCCAGGGCTCCCAGCTACCTCTGCAGCTGGTAGCTCTAGGGGTGATTTAAAGGCCCAGGGGCTCCCAGCCGCAGCCAGAGCCCTGGGGCCTTTAAATCTTGATTTAAAGGGCCTGGGTATTTAAAGGCCCCGCCTCTTCCGGTTGAGGCCCCGCCTCTTCCAGTCGAGGCCACGCCCCCTACTCAGGACTCTGGAGTATTGGTAAATCCTTTAAATTCCTTTTACCCCTGACTGTAAGGGATGGGTAATCACATCAGTCAATAGGAACTGGCTGCTGGGATCTCTGCATTTTTCATGGCTGCCATGTGGTAGTTGGCTCTACTCAGAGGCAGGC